AGTGTGTACCTGCACATGCAGAAATATATTATTATTATTATTATTGTTATTATTATTATTATTATTCAGACATGATAATCCCTACCATTCACAAGCAAGGCTATTTATGCGGACTTCAACATACCTGCGATTTCTTGGTCTTCAGTTAAAACGGTGAAATGTTTTGAATCATTTGCTGAGTGCTCAGAGCTTGGGCAGAGAACTCAATACATCGGTAGACCTAACAGTCATCAAAATACCTTGGATTTAGTCCTCAGCATTAATCTTACCCCCAATAATTTGTCCATTGGAAAGACGTTTCCAAGTAGTGACCGTAATATCATCATCTACAGTCTTGGTAATGAAAGCTACAACTAGTAAACATAAAAGTATCAAACTCCGTAGAGACTACTCCAGAATCAATTGGGAAAGCTACCAAAATTGCCTAAGGAGCATTGATTGGAGGAACTCTCTTACCGGTAACAATACCGACAAAATAGCTAACATATTATATTACAACACCAGTAGCACCTTTGACAACCACACCTTTAGGGTACTGTGATCTTTCTAAAGATCACTATATACAGGTCCGAATACGAAGACGAATTAGAAGACATGACACCTGATTCCAAATCCTTAATGAATTTTTCACTTTACTTACGGTCAGACAATTATTTGTCAAGGCAGAGGCAATATGTGCATGGAAGTAGTCGCACAGAAACCTAACAATGACTCACTCCCACTTATCAAACTCCTTCAAAATGAACTTGAATGTTCAAAATTGAGGGGATGAAACATATTTATTAAGGACAACCGAGTAAACGAAGATCCCAAATTTATTGCGGAACTATTTAATGAACAATTGTGCCTCATCAACAAATGGAAATCCACTGAATGAATCAGAGTTTACCCCAGTATCTTCCTGTTAAATCACAAATGTTGACTTAAATGTACCGAACATATCTAAGGCAAATAGCACACTGTAACATTCTTACACTGAAGAACCAGCTAGTATTCCAGCTAGCGTGCTATAATGTGGAAGTGATGATATGTACGCTATACCTCTTAAACTATTCGCGACACCATTCTCTACCGCGCGTCACCCTACTGACTAGAAACCTACACATACCACCTCCAAAACCAAGTCAGAAACTGTAGTAAATGCTCGACATTTCCGGCCCGTATAAAGGACCACCGGCATTTAGAGTGATGGATAATGTAGTTAAAGCGGTGTTAGTCCAATATCTACTTATCAATAGTCTCATCTTGGCCACCCAACATTAGTTTCTGAGGTTCAGGTCATGTGATGCATACCTGGTGGACTTAATTATGAAACGCCATACCAAAACACCGGGCCGCCTGTATTAGCTCTATTCTTAGACGTTAAGAAAGTTTTTGATTAGGTTCCGTATAAAAGGCTTCTCGTCAAGTCAAAGTCCCTCGGAATCGATAGCCAACTATCATCCTGGTTCGCTTTGTTCCTAACAGAACTTTAAAAAATTGTGAAGTAGAACGACCGTCTCGCATTGCTAAAACCAATAACTATTGGAGTTTTCTACCGATGCGCATTTCTCAACCTCGAAAATCGTTTGTTTAGGACCAATATTACTACACTTCCTCTATTATTTTAAAGTCTGGAAGGCTATTGAGTTTCATCATAAAGAAGTCTTTCACAACTGAAGGTAAGCCTACATTTTTCGAAATACGTACACGGCCCTCTCTTTGCATACTGCGCTTTTTACCTTTCTGTACATGAGTACGATTCACAAGAAACGAGTAGAAGACGTCTAATGAAACTCCATGCATCGAATGCTAGGATGTGACTCCAGTCTCGACTACACAGCTAGAGCTAAAAACCTCTCCTTAGAACCTCCGTGCTGTCGTCAACCATGTAACAATCTAATACTTTCTACAAAGTTGTGCATGATCTCTCATATCTAATCTCCCACTTAACTATGGTCCATGACTCTGTCATTAGGCTCAGGAACAACGATCCAAATTCCCTTTATTATTTGAAGCCAATCACCTCGTTTACAGAAAGAAGTCTGTGGTGGTTATGTTCCTAACCACAAAATCCCCAAAGCTGAACATAAGGTAACTGGAGATAAAGCCGACACTAGTGAACGAGGGAATAATTCGTTCATTCAGTCGGATGGAATGGCTTGGCCCCCCAGACGTGATCATCCTCTATAATATTTCTCTACTCGCGTTAAATATTTTATTTTATCTTTAGCCCAAATATGTTCTTCGAAAGCGTCAGATGTTATACTGCTGATTCTTACGATACAATGAGTCAGGGTACTTTTAGTTCCAATTGTCAGTTTATTCTGGTTCACTACCTATTTTGTTTCTATTCGTTATTGACTACTTTCATTATTTTATTTAGGTATATTTGATGTAATTAATGAGTCGTTTCGCGTTTTTACTATTCTATTTTCTCCACATGTTACTCTTCACGCTTCTCCAAATTTGAACCGCTACTCTGTTCAGCACATATTTGAGGCAGTTCTATGGTAACGTGTGTTCCTTAAAAGATACTGCGTAGGTCTAGTACAGTAATTTCTCACTTCCAGTCTTCCTTTTGTAACATTGTTAATCATATCAATGTATCAGTTCTTTGACTAGATATCTGGACTTACGAAATAACACCAGGCTACTTTCGAATAATGAATCCATAAACCCACTATTCCGTGCTTCTGTGTAGTCACACTGGTGATAGTGATGTCAACTAGAAACAGTTGAATTTTTCTCACTATCCTTGTTGTATTCACAAAATATGTATGTATCTAGGCCTTATTCGTTAGACGAAATAAACTTGCGCGTAGCAATATATCAGTGTTCTAAACGAATTTTATTTCTGTGTGAACTGTTAGAATGAAATGTATTTGTATTCTGTCGTTGATTTTGTATTTTATTTGAAATTAACAGTTGCTTTATACTTTATTTGTTCTTTTCTAACTCCTCAAAACTAACTATATGTTTTTTTCTAAATTCCTGAATACATGATTTAGGATTTAGCATAGAAGGTGATGGTGGACGATGTGGATAGTTCTAATACGTAATTCTGTCACTTTCTTGTTAATGTTTTAGAAATTTGTCGCTCGTAGAAGAACATTCTTCAACACAAATAAGATCAAGTTTAAGTTGTGATAGCCCGCAAAACAAACCTAATAATAAGACCTGGAGCAGTTCACTAAAGTGTTCTGTTTCGTGTACTTCTTTATTACCGGTTTTCAGCATACCTTCAGAAAAGAGTCCTTCTTCGTATGTCTACCGCACAGATGGTGCTGAACGTGGACTGTGTGTTGTTTTTTCAGTTGATAAATTTGATCCGATACTTTGTTTGCCACCAAGAAATGGTTCTTTGGTTGATATACAAAATATTAAGAGAGCTTTTACGAGCCTCGACTTTAGGGTCATAGTGCATTCAAATCCGACATCCGAAAGTTTATTTTCTTTAATCCGAACAAGTAAGTTGTGTGGATTGTTTAGTTTATATAAGGTGTAAAATATATTTACTTGGGCGGTTTTGTAGAGATTTTGTATAATCTGTTAGTAATTTTCAGAGCGTTCTAGTTTCACTTGAGCAAATGTTTCGTCCCATTTTAAATGTAAGCAAAAAAACTGGCGGAAAGACTTCGATTATATATATATATATGAGTATCCTTACAACAAATTTGTAGAACTATGGTCTGCTATTATATTAGTACTGCTCTAATAATAGACCTAATCCTAAATTTGTAGATTTGTCTATTTGTAACCCAAGGCATGTTACCAGAAAACTGGATGAACGTCAGTGTAAATCCTATCTTAATTACAGGTACAAACACAAATCTGAGAAATATAAACTCGTAAGCCTAACTGGCGTGGCTGAAATAAAGTTAGAAAAGATTATCTAAAAGTTGTTTGAGCATCTAGACGAAAATCGAATTCCTTCTGATAAGCATCATGGCTTTAGACACAGGTAATTCGCGCCTAGCAGGCGTACTAGTACCTTGTAAAAGTTGGTTCGCCCTCAAAGCTCAAAAGTTAACTGTAGACGTAGCCTTCGTTGACTTCTATGAAGCGTTTGACAAATTTCCGCTCAATCGGCTGCTATCTAAGCTGAGGCCTATCGGGATTGGAGACAACTAATTTATGTGGACAAACGATTCCCTTATTGTATGCCAACTAAGAGTGCAGATTGACTTCAAGTTGCCTATCCGGGAAACTGTGCTTAGCGGAGTGCCATAGGGTACATTTTTGCTACCAGTGTTATTCTTCCTATATGCAAATGACAAATCTGGTCACTTATCATCACCGGTTTGGTCATTTGCTGATAATTTCAAGATATGGAGAGCGATAAAAATGATTATAGTTTGAAGCTTCGAAATTACTTACAGCTTTGTCTGATTGGTCTGGTATTCGGCAGTTACTGATAAATGCTTCCAAGTGCATTTGATACATACTGGTCATCAATGTACCGAAACATACATGATGAGTGACATTGAGCTACCTAGAAGTCATGAACAAAGAAAACTTGAGAAGTAATACACAGTGCTATGAAATAGCTACCAAAGGTTTTAGAGTCCTATGGTCAATACATAGGGACTTTATCCACGTTGATGTCAAAACTTTTTCGACTTTACGTACAGCATTCGCTTGTCCTAAACTCGAGTACTGAATACAGTTGGCTGGTTCATGTTTAAGAAGTCAATCAGCTGTCGGAAAACGTTGAAAGAAACGCAAGTAAGCCTATTTCAACGCAGTGAAGCGTGGCCTAAAAGGATGTTATAATACTATTATGATCTTCAATCACATGTGAATAATGACGGTAGCGTGAGTTTTGATTAACCCGCCGATTATATCCGTTTTACAAACGGTACAGAGAAACAACAGATATGGAATATAAATATGATTACACATAAAGCGCCACAGATAACGAAAAAATTGCGGTTGTTATTTTGTCGTTACAAAATTCATTGGGTGTACATGTATATGACTGTCTAACAGTAACACACCCACGGAAGGCAAATATTGGGGGGGGGGGGGAATAGCGCGGGATTTGGCCTAAGTTCCGTTTGTTTCTTGAATTTCCAACCACTTTGATGCAGGTAATTTCTTATGAAGATCTAATTCTTCGATCCTGGCTACTGTTCAGCACTTTTGGTTTATAGTGGTATAGTGATGTGTTTGTGCTCTTGTAGATTGACAAGTTACTTGTGATACCAACTTCAGTTTTTGACTGGTATTTAGTATATACGTTAGTTTTGATGCTTCAGTAGATGTCACTGCATTTTAAGGTCCAAGGTTAATCATAGTTTTTTAGAACTGTTTCTTGATGACAGTGAACGCAGTTGTGTAGTCAAGATCTCAAATAGTTTCAGTCAAATTATTGTAGTAATGAGTTTTTACCCATATACTAAATGCACGTAAATTTTAATCATTTGCGCACGTATATATGCAAGTATCAATTTTCAAACAAAAGATTCGGTTCATATGTGTGTTCATTTAAAGGACGGTGCTTAAGGTTGCATCCAGTATGTTTTATAAAGCTAGTAAATAAAATAAAATGGAAAGACTGATTCTTTTGCGTAGATCTCATAGGTCAATGCGTGAATCTGAAGTACTATGTAATTGGATGTTCATAGCTGACATCGAATGTACTAATGCATTCTAATTGACTACTAAACTTCGAAATTCTAGCGCAACTAAAAGTTTACTCTTAAGATAAAAGGTATTTGATTTGTAGGTTATAATTAAGTTAATTATATCACATAGGCTTCTGTTAGTCATTTAACTTAAAGTTTGTTGGTTTTTGTCACGACAGGAAATTTGTATCTTCTGGGGACAGTCCGAACATAGTAAATATCAACTTTCATATGGCTAAGCAAAACTTGGGACTTCTAACCAAAACTTTTTTCTCTGTAGGTGAATATCAATCCTGACGTTAACTGCCTCACTTCAGTTTACGTACAAGACAACCTTGTTAGGGAGCCTGGTCGACTGAATTTAAGGTAGTTAGTACTGTCACTAAATTTTTATGTTCCATCTAAAGTGGATGAAAACGCGCATATGAATGCGTTAATACTTTAGTACGTTAATCGTTCCTAATGAAAAGCACAAACATAACCATAAATATTTGTCAAAATACCATTCCTGTTATTTGATTCCTTCATTAACTCAGTTACCATAGTGTTGTTAGGGTTTGAGTCTATCGTATGATAAGGTATGTAAATAATTATTGGGGAAATATGGTGTGTATGGACTAGTCAATTGATACTTTGCTATCAGTCATGAGTGAGTCATGTTTAAGAACACGTTTGGACCACTAGTTTGTTATTTCGGCTGCTTTTTATGATGACCTTGTTTCCATTGTCTCCAGATGGACTTAATGCGTTTTGCCAGAGTAATAGTCTTATTGCTGTCATAATTTCAATATTTTCAGATTTAGTCGTTCACAGAGAATGGAATTAAGTTTCTGAGTATTTCCAAAAAGCTACAAAAGTGCTCTAATCAGGTTAACAAGTTGGGATAATCATGTAGTGATTAATTATTGCGCGATATTATCATTAAAATCGTCAAAGTGATTTTTTAAGACGCAGAAGAGAAAGTCTTTTTATTCCTGAAACGACATCTTTTATGTTGGTCATTTTCGCTTAACAAACTCCTTTGCAAACATAATCTAACTTGTAACCGTACTTAATGTCGTTTCTATTGACATCTCATTTAAGTGCTTTAGTGACACCTTTGATATGATCCATTATAATTCTCGAAAACGCTAAAACTTTCAATCAAAGATAATTGACCGTTGGTATGTGGTCGTTGGCCTCTCTTACCGTACTTGCATCAAGTTATATGAGTTAAAGCATTCTTAGAAGTCCCACCATAACAGAAAGTTCGATTGCAATGACATGTCTTAATATCTAAGCCGTATTGATTACTACTCGGTTTTAGCGACTGAGGCTCTACTTTGGTCAGTTAGAAGACAAATAGGCATAAAGAGTTCATCAATTTGTGTGTGGGCTGTGATACTGCCCGGGTGCCCAAACCGAAGCAGGTGGTTATCTTAGGGGGCCACACCCCGAGCCTTTGACCTAAAGGTCTAACCCACAAGGCAGTGGAGCATCGTGAGGAGATGCAGTCCCATGGTAGCCGGTGACCAACGATTGGTTCATACGCCATTTGTTCCCTCAGGATACTGGAGCCCATGTGCACCATTGATTTGGAATCCGGTTAAAGCGCCGGACATTCGCTTTTCGTCCTCTCATTTTCGTAAACAACACCCCCGCCACGAGAAGGCAATGAGTAGGACTTCCCTGGCAGAGGCTGTATACGCGTGGCCGTGTGAGAGTATTTCGAGAGGGAGAGCGGACTCTCCCCACTCTCGGCCGTACCAGGGCATTCAGGGGGGCTAGAGACGTTATCAGATATGGCTCTAGAGACGTTATCAGATATGGCTCAGAATAGAAGCCAGTGGCGATCCTGCTGTAACCTTCTTTTACCTTCTTCATAAAAAGTGGTTGTGTCTCCTTTACCTGAAAGATTTCTTCTGATTGTACCTCTTCGTTCCGTCGTTACTACCACACTACCTTACTCCAATCTCTTCGTCATTGTTCTCTTTTTCTTTTGCGTTCCTTAGTTTGTTTTTTCTTCTTTCTACTTCTCTTCGAATTCCCATTGTTTTGTGTGGCGCATATATATTGGCGCTCTATTGTACCAATATTTATGTGTTCAAATAAATAAATAAATAAATAAATAAATAAATAAATAAATAAATAAATAAATAAATAAATAAATAAATAAAGAAGACAACAACAAATTAGGGGCATTAATGTCAGTATCTTTTATTTTCTTACAGTTGTTAGCCATAGGACTACTTTTCCTCAATCACTTGATGTAATCACGGAGTCGCCGACTTCGGTCTCTTATCCTCTAATAAGTTCTGGGAAAAAAACAGTATCAACAAATTTCACTCAGAAGACATGACTTACAGTAAGGTGTTTCCTTTGGACAATCAGTATATGCCACGATGCTTCCTTATCACCGCCTCCAGCGGTAAGGCCTTTTGTAGTGCAAAACCGACACACCGAAAATTTTCCTTAAAAAGACCTTTGAGCGATCGACCTCAAGCAACTGTGCCCTGGGCTCTGCGGTCACGGTCCCAGGTCGCTAAGACCACCATCGATTCGAATTCTTCTTCAGGTCCCTTCCACGGTGTGAAAAATGGGGTAGTGACAGCCGCCCTCATACCTCTGTCTGCACCCGAGATCATCTCGTTGACGATGGACTTCTTCCCTCACCTTGATATTCTTCTAACTTCATCTAAATAGTGTGTGAATTCCATGTGGCTCATACTTTAAGATTTAATTTCAATTCGTTGGCCTATTAAGTGCTGTTATACTTAGCTTTTTGTAACTTAAAATGGTGTTATAGGGTTACCAGAATACAGTAGTTTGTAGTTGGTAAGTCACTCAACCTTCGGCATTCGTGTTGTAGGTTCAAACATCGTCTGCTTACACTGGTTTGAAAAGCTTGAGTAAAATCATTCCGTCTCACTCTAAAAGTTGTTGCTCAAAGTTGGGCGTACAAAACTGCTCTTAGTTACCAAGCTATATTAAATCAGGTTGAAAATTGCAGCAATCGAAGTGGGATGAAGTTCGGGCTTGAAATTCAATGAATGAGGGCTATTGAGTTGAAAATCTACTATTGGCATCCTGGCGACTCAGTAACACTTTGTTTAGGTATAGATGTTATCAAGTCATGTTGAGACTAAGTTAGTAATCACTTGTGTTCTGTTCTCTACAATCGACGTTGTGGTTTGCGGTTTACACACTTTCACCTATAACATTTTAGGTCCGAATTCATTTCTATTTACCCTAATATTATATTAGCAATAAAGCGTGATTCTAGATTACGGTTATACTCTATGGTTTAAAGTACGCCTATGGATTTGGTGCTTTTGTTTATAGGCTGCAAACAACTTCAGTGTGTTTGATAAGCAACTTCTAATTCACCTAATAACTATTTTTATTGGAAGTGGAAGCAAAATATGCTGACTTTTTTGTGTATATTAATGGGACCAAAATTTTGTCCTTATTTTTAGGCACGACATTTGGACAAGTCAGACGAATCATCTAACTTGTCGGACGATGATTATGTTCCTTATATACCAGTGAAGCAACGTAAACAACAGGAGGTAATGTGCTTCATCTTTCATTCGGTGTTATATTTGATAATAATCCTCAGTTTTAAGTGTTTGAGGAGACTACGAAAAGCTGAATATTCTTATGTTTGGATTACCATAGAAAGTAGTTGGTTTTTAAACAATATAAATAAGTGTTTCACTGATTAGATTTATGTGAGGGCTTGAATACTGCCCGGGTACCCAGATCGAAGGAGTTGATTTTCTTAGGGGGTCACACTCAGAGCCTTCGACTTAAAGGCTTAATCCACAAGGCAGTGAAGCAACGTAAGGAGATGTAATCCCATGGTAGCTGGTGACCAACAGTTATTTATACGCCATTTGTTCCTTTAAGATCCTGGAGCCCATTTACATCATTGATTTGGAACCAAGGTTTCCCAACTCCTAGATGAGTCCTCCATATCCACCATCCCGGTTAAAGCGCCAGGCATCCGCTTTCTGTCCTTTCATTTTCATGAACAACAGTAAGTAGGACTTCCCTGGCAAAATGCCAAATAGTTGATATGCATTTGATCGTAATGTGAATCCTGGAAAGAAGTTAGTGTATCAATCGCTAACTCGACTGGTTATGTAAACATCAGATGGAACGAGTTGTTACTAATATCTTAGGGTTGATGCTCAACTTCGGACTACCTCTCGGAAGTTGTTCTGCTTATTTTGTCTACGTCATAGTCACCTACTAAGCTTGGACCGTATTTGTGAAAGTTAGTGTGGGCTTTTTCTGTTAAAATGAAAAGTAAAACTGTCTAATATCAGATTCGGTATACAACTTCAAAATATGTTAGTTCTTGTTTCTGTGGTTGATATCAAGTGTTCGTTTTGACTATATTTCTTACTGTAATATCATATCAGTCTACTTGACAAAGGGATCATCATGAATTAGTTTTTGTCGCAATAATTAGCTATCGGTTCATTCAATGTGATTTGAGATACATTTAACATAAGCTTCTCAACCCGAGATAAGTGGGATGAAGTTCATTCCTCACATTTTAAGAATGTACTTCTAGTGGTATCGGGTGAATAAACAATAAGCTGAAATCCAAACAAAATTGTTTGTTATTAAATATTTGTTGAGTGAATGTTCGGTCATTTAAATACATACATCAGTTCAATCCAATATCAGATAATTTTGTTTGACTGCTTCTGTTTAGAAGTTTTACAGGTGACCAAAAGGCCGTTTCAAGCCCGAATAGTTACTATTTATAATAATTATTATTGTAATGGCAAAAATAATAGTTGTTATACTCGCACTATTTAGTACCATATCTTGATTATAGTGAATTATCAGCACGAAGTTCGCGGGATTTCACAGATATTCCCGCTTTATGATCATTTAACTCGTAAATATTAAAAAAACTAACTGGCGTTCATAGTCATAAATATTTATGATCAGGCTTGTACTCATGATATCTCATCACCAGATCGGTTTTTTATGTGAATCTTGCAGTAAGCACTCTCTTACTTACTTACTTACGCCTGTTACTCCCAATGGAGCATAGGCCGCTGACCAGCATTCTCCAACCCACTCTGTCCTGGGCCTTCTTTTCTAGTTCCTTCCAATTCTTGTTCATTTTTCTCATGTCTATCTCCATTTCTCGGCGTAATGTGTTCTTTGGCCTTCCTCTTTTCCTTTGACCTTCAGAATTCCATGTGAGGGCTTGTCTTGTGACGCAGTTGGGTGCTTTCCTCAATGTGTGTCCTATCCACTTCCAGCGCTTCTTTCTGATTTCTTCCTCCACTGGGATCTGGTTTGTTCTCTCCCACAGTTGGTTGTTGCTAATAGTGTCCGGCCAATGGATCTGAAGTATTTTGCGTAGACAATTGTTGATAAACACCTGTATTTTCTGGATGATGGCTTTTGTAGTTCTCCAGGTTTCTGCCCCATACAGTAGAACTGTCTTGACATTTGTATTGAAAATCCTGACCTTGGTGTTGGTTGACAGTTGCTTTGAGTTCCAGATGTTCCTCAGTTGTAAATATGCTGCTCTTGCTTTGCCGATCCGCGCCTTCACATCTGCATCAGATCCACCCTGTTCATCAATGATGCTGCCCAGATACGTAAAGGTTTTTACATCTTCCAAATCTTCTCCGTCAATTGTGATTGGATTGGTGCATTCTGTGTTGTATCGGAGAATCCTGCTTTTCCCTTTGTGTATATTGAGGCCTATTGCTGCTGAGGCTGCTGCCACACTGTTTGTCTTCTCCTGCATCTGTTGTTGCGTTTGGGATAGAAGGGCCAGATCGTCTGCGAAGTCTAGATCATCCAACTGCATCTTAGATGTCCATTGTATCCCGCGCTTCCCTTCAGACGTTGACGTCTTCATGATCCAGTCGATCACCAGGAGAAAGAGAAAGGGTGAGAGTAAGCAACCTTGCCTAACACCGGTCTTCACTTCGAACGACTTTGTCAACTGTCCTCCATGCACGATTTTGCAGTGTAATCCATCATATGAGTTCTGTATGATATTGACTATCTTCTGAGGCACGCCGTAGTGTCGAAGAAGTTTCCATAGTGTTGTTCTGTCCACGCTATCAAATGCCTTTTCGTAGTCAATGAAGTTGATGTAGAGTGATGAATTCCATTCAATTGATTGTTCCACAATGATCCGTAGAGTTGCGATTTGGTCTGTACACGATCTATCCTTACGGAATCCTGCCTGTTGGTCACGAAGTTGGGCGTCTACGCAGTCCTTCATCCTGTTTAACAATACTCTGTTGAAGACTTTTCCCGGTATTGAGAGAAGAGTGATGCCCCTGTAGTTATCACACTTGCTGAGATCGCCTTTCTTCGGTATTTTGATCAGAAGTCCTTCTTTCCAGTCTGTTGGTACTTGTTCCTCATCCCAAATCTTATTGAAGAGAATGTGGAGTATCCTTGCAGTTGCCGCTACGTCTGCTTTTAGTGCCTCTGCTGGGATGTTGTCCGGTCCTGCTGCTTTGCCACTCTTGATTTGTCTGATGGCCATGCTGATTTCTTCAATTGTTGGTGGGCCAACATTGATTGGGAGGTCCGTGGGTGCTGCTTCGATGTTGGGTGGGTTCAGTGGAGCTGGTCGATTCAACAGTTCTTTGAAGTGTTCTACCCACCTGTTTTGTTGCTCTTCAATGTTGGTGATTACCTTGCCTTCCTTGCTTTTCACTGGTCGTTCTGGTTTGCGGCGATTTCCAGAGAGTTTCTTTGTCGTGTCATACAATTGTCTCATGTTTCCTTCTCTTGCAGCCTTTTCCGCCGTCGTTGCTAAATCTTCCACATATTTACGTTTGTCAGTTCTGATGCTCCTCTTCACTTGTTTGTTTATTTCCGTGTATTCAGCTTGTGCCTTGGCTTTTTCTGCTCTTGTTCGGCTGGTATTGATCGCTGCCTTCTTGTTCCTTCTTTCTTGAATCTTATCCAGTGTATCAACAGTGATCCATTCCTTGTGGTGGTGCTTCTTGTGACCCAGGACCTCATGACATGTTGAAGTGATTGCCTCTTTGATCCCCTTCCAGTTGCTCTCCACAGTAGTTCCTTCTCCATTGAGTAGATCATGAAAGGCCTGGAACTTGTTGCTGAGGACTATCTTGAATTTGTTGAGTTTGTTAGTATCCTGAAGAAAGGCCGTATTGAACTTTTATGATATTGTCCGCCCCATTGTCCAGTGCTTCTTGAGTTTCAATTTCATCTTGGCGACCAGTAAGTGATGATCTGATGCTATATCAGCTCCTCTCTTGGTTCTCACGTCCTCTATAGTCCTCCTGAACGTTTTGTTGATGCAAATATGGTCGATTTGGTTTTGTGTAGAGTGATCCGGTGAAGTCCATGTGGTTTTGTGTATGCCTTTATGTGGGAATATGGTGCCGTCTATGACCAGCTTATTGAAGGCACATAGATTTGCAAATCTCTCACCATTTTCGTTTCTTTCTCCCAGTCCGTGTCGTCCCATGATGTCTTCATATCCAGTGTTGTCCGTTCCAACCTTGGCGTTGAAATCTCCCATCAGAATGGTCAGGTCCTTTGTTGGGCACTTCTCGACGATTGACTACAGCCTATTGTAGAATTGATCTTTAGCGTCTTCATTGTAGTCGTTGGTAGGCGCATAGCATTGGATGATGTTCATTGAAATGCCCTCTTTCTTTGTTTTAAACGAGGCTTTGATGATCCTTGGTCCATGAGATTCCCATCCTATAAGTGCATTTTGCGCTTGTTTGGACAGCATCAATGCAACTCCTTGTGTATGTGGTGCATTTTCTTCTTCATGGCCGGAGTATAACAGGAGCTCTCCTGTAGTTAGTCGTTGTTGTCCAACTTGTGTCCAATGTGTTTCACTGATCCCAAGTACCTCTAGGTTGTATCTTCTCATTTCTGCAGCAGTCTGGAAGGCTCTTCCGGTGTCCCACATTGTACGAACATTCCATGTACCTAAATAAATGGTCGCTCTGGTTGTCAGAAGGGGCATCGGCCTCGTAACTTCCGAAGGGATTCGGCTTTCATCATGAGGCGTCATAATTCTTCTAAATGAAGACCTTCTGACTCCCAGGGCAGAGTTTAAAAGATTTGAATAGTTTTTTCTGGTTAGCGTTTTTTTAGCGAGTTAGTTTTCTACGGGATGGGGACGCTAACCCCATGCCCAACCCTCCTCCTTTATCCGGGCTTGGGACCGGCAGTAGCCCCCGGAGGGACTCCAGGCGGAGTTGTAAGCACTCTCGTTTCTCCAAAAAAACCAGGAAGGGAATATACGAACTACTATTATGGTGCTCCTTGAGTTTGTCAGTGACTAGATTCGCGATAGGTTATGAACGTTTCATGAAAGCACGTGGGTACATACGGTTAACTAACATAGTGAGTTTAAGAAATCCCAAAACAGGAAAATTTATAACAATAAACACATGTTTAGGAAAACATTGAGTCTAAAGTCTGAACAGACTGCCGCTTCGGTCACTTTTTCAGTTTTATGATACTTGGTTTGGTAGTGCCCAAATAAGATTTGATCTCTTTACCCTTTCGAAAATTATTGAGGAACTTGGGTAACCCATCAACTGATTACGAATTATTGTTTTGGTTTTGAATCACTTTTATCGTACCAGAACTAGGAAGATATTGCTGACTTGTTCAAATCGATGAAAATAAAATATGGTTTAAACACCTACAACTCTGTCAAAACTACTGATCCATATATGCACTGTTGGACGTTTTTAGGTCCAGCCAGTATATTCATTAAAATGAGGCTCCTGTTGTATATAAATTAGACGAGCTCAGCGGTTTAAGGACTGATGGGTTTGAATTTCAAGCATTCGATCTCAGGTTCGAGTCTCATTTCACCCATTTAAATCCAAAACAACTGGGTAATATCATCACCCTTTGCATAAAATAGTGTTCTCCAGAGTTTGATCACTAAGTTATCAAAACGAACTGTTTGCTTATACCAGACGTATAAACGTAATTTTGTGTTAGTAATAAAGTTTCTGTACCACTAGTTTCATTAGTCATAAGTATTCGATTTCTCCCACTTCAGCTTACTTCACTGCAGCGTGTATTAGGTAATCTTGCGTACACTGAAGTGCCTGAGGAGGAATTAGACCAGGGTAATACAGCAGAACAAGTTGAAGATGATCCGGAGGGTATGACAAAAAATTCATCTGATGACAAACATCATGGACCTAATGCCCAGGGTAGTTTATTTGATAGAATGTGGGAATTAAAGCGAAAAGCTGAAGGTATACTCGTCTGGAGTTTTTTGTTGACATAATTTAGAAAGGAAGGAAACAGAACGGGATAAAAAATTAAAGGAAGAAGCTAAGATTTTAGAAAGTGTTGCTGAAAAGACCGCTTTAAAAGGTGTTGCAGAACTAGCAAAAGGTATCCAGTATGATAAACCAATTCAAACCAGGTACAGTAGTAAAACAACAATAATTTTTATTTTAGCTGGGTACCACCTGTATATATCCGGGAACAAAGTGAAGAGAAATCTGCAGAAATCCGCAAAAAGTTTCGAATTTTAACTGAAGGTGATGATGTACCTGCTCCTATTCGACATTTTAGTGAAATGTGTTTTCCAAAGGCTTTAATTGATTTACTAAAACTACGTGGAATAACAAAACCTACACCGATTCAAATGCAAGGTTTACCAGCTGTATTAAGTGGTCGAGATATGATTGGAATTGCATTCACCGGCTCCGGAAAAACAATGGTGTTCTCAATACCAGTTATATTATTTTCCATGGATCAAGAACAGAAAATTCCATTTATTCAAAATGAAGGACCTTATGGTTTAGTTTTAGGTCCATCTGTAAGTTAGATTAATTTCTGTTTGATATCATTTTTTATTTTATTATATGGTTATGAGTTTTCAATTAGGTAGTTTTTATCTATCATTTTGTTTGTCACTAACTTTTTCTTTTAGACATAGGTAATAATAGGGACCTAGATTTCGAATGTTTCTTTAGCAAACATATGCGCTATAATATATTAGTCTACCTCGTTAATTTGCTATTTACATAATCGTGCAGTGTTATGCGTTTGTGCATTATTTCTACTTTTTATTTCTTTGAGCAAGAATATCGATCGGATGTCTAGGATGATAATCTTCTTAAATCAGAAACAAAGGTATACAACTCATACATTTATATTGCGCAGTTCATCTCAATGAGTATTTTTAATCATGTGTCTTTCGTTCTACAGATGATATCATGATTATCTAAGTTTGGTCATTATCCTTCAACGTGGAATTCCATTAGGGCCTTTCACATAGCTAATTTGTGATGAGATATTATGTGACGAACAGTAGCTCGTGTTTGAAAATTTATCTAAATTATTTTCTAATGTGCGTTAAATCCATGATGCTTTCTGTCATCCGCCGTAGTGGATTTGCGGGTTTTATTGTTTATTGTTAATTCATTGGAGGTTGTCAGTAAGTAACTACGAGTTCAGAGAGGGATTGGTCTTCAGTCAGATAACTCAACAACACCTCTAACAGTAGTACTAAAGACTTGGTTTGACAGTGGTTAGTTTCATATTGCTTGAGCACGTTTCACATACAAGTTAATATTGTAGTGTTAAACAAAATCGTAAAAAATCCCATGCGCTCTTTGATGACTATCTTCTAAAGACTTCCTAAACTTCCAAAGAGTTAATAAAAATAACGTAGGACTGTTACAGATGTACATCAGTTCAATTCGCCACATATCAACACATTTAAATGAAATCAGCTAGCTGCTTAGCAAACGGAGTCGAAGTGATAATGTCTGTGATCGTAAAGAATACGATTTGAAAAGAAGAAACGGATTATCCGGATAAAAATTAAACAAGACTGTATGGTTACTAGCTCAACTGATTTATTATGTGTGTAGGGGATGCCTTTTATTTAAAGGAGGTTTGTAATAAATCGGAAAGGAATTCCGAACGTTGGTTTTGTGCTATTTAGTAGTTATCAGGACGGTAAAAGGTTCCCTAAGAAAACCACCTGCTTCGGCCTAGGCACCCGGGCAGTATCACAGCCCACACAAAAAAAGTGGTGAACTGTCTATTTATGGCAAATATTCTTCTTGCTCCGAATAACAATCAAGTGACTCACATTATTACTATTATTGTTATTGTTATTATTATTATTTATTGTCTACTAAAATTGTGTTAAATAGTTCTTTATTTTTTGTAATAAATCTCCAATGAATTATTAGTGAGTGATCTTTGTAAGTAATAAATAATACTATTTCTTCTATACTAGCGTGAATTAGCTCGACAAACACATGAAGTAATCTGTAGCCTTATTGATGGTTTAGTCAAAGCTGGTTTCCCGTCTATTCGTTGTTGCTTATGTATTGGTGGCATGGCTGTTAAAGAACAAGCAGATATTGTTAAAAGATCTGGTGTTCATATTTTGGTTGCTACACCAGGTCGTTTAATAGATTTACTTCAACGTAAAATGATTAATTTGGAAGTATGTCGTTATCTTGTTTTGGATGAAGCTGACAGAATGATTGATATGGGTTTTGAAGAAGAAGTCCGAACTATATTCTCCTATTTTAAGGTAAGAAATTAAATTTTTTCATTCATCAATATATATATATATATATATATATATATATATATATATATATATATAATTATTGCATAGACATTATGTAGATTGAAATTAGCTGAATCAAGAGTATATTAGTTACGTTCCACAACATCCAATTAAGATATACACGCTTTTTGTGAGCTTGCCAACTAGTGGTGTGAACGAGAAAACTGGAAAACAACTAGAAATCTTTTATGTGTATACATTTGTCTGCTTGACCTGCATAAGGCCATGTAGGTTCATTAAGTGGATAATCGACTTATTTCAACAGCTTTTTTTATTGAAGAAATAAATTAAATTAAATTTTTAGCATCTACGTAAACTTTCTGCACAATATTATTTTACTGATTGAAATGCAATGTAACAATTAACTAATTGTTTTGTACTCATATTATATTGAATGCCATTATTCAGGGACAACGTCAAACACTTTTGTTCTCTGCTACTATGCCGAAAAAAATACAAAATTTCGCTAAATCAGCCTTGGTGAAACCCGTCACTGTTAATGTTGGTCGAGCTGGAGCAGCTAGTATGAATGTCACTCAGGAAGTAGAATATGTGAAACATGAAGCGAAAATTCCCCATTTACTTGATGCTTTACAAAAAACTCCACCTCCTGTAAGCTTTCTCCTCTTATTTTGATATATATATTACTGGTTAGCATTTCTAAGTGTTACCTTATTTATCAAAGAGGTTTATTTTTTAAATTACATTTGTTAAAATTCTGTATAAGTACTCCACTAAAGCAAAGGCAATAAACTCAAATTTATACAAAAATAAGGTAAAGAATAAGCAAACATATTTTGTCAACTTCTAAGGCACATTTTTAAGTGTTTATATCAGCATTTTTGTACTGTCGCCACTGCAATCTGATCCCCGTCCTCGTTTTGATATATAATATAAATCTTTGTAACTTTTCAAACCACGGTGGTCTGTTCACTTTATTCTGAATCGCTTTTTTGTTCTTATTTATGTGTGCACAAACATTTACCTATCTTGTTTAAAATTTGTCTTTAAAAATATTCTATTCGTAACTAAAATAAAATAACAGACCCTATCCAGCTGTCAAAGATAAGTAAGTACTGGTTGTTACGCTTCATCTATTGTTAGTTCAAAATTACACTAGGGATTTTTATAACTAAGATAACAAAAAGTATATTCAGTCTTAATATCTAATAAATGAACATTTGTTGTTAAGCATAGTTGTTAAGCATATGAATGTACAATGTGAATTCTTTTCTCATAATTTGTCAGTTGTTTACAGTGTACAACTTGAGTATTTATTTGTCTCACTGTAATGGAGCATATAATTTAAAATTACAGCTGAATCGCCACTGGTTTTTTATTTTGAGCTATGTCTGGTAGAGTACCTGAAGTCATTGAGTTGGATGAATTTTAAAATCACAACCAGGTAGTCGTGATAATCTGACAGATAGCAATCTATTATAGTTATCTTCTGTACCATGGTGCCATGTCATGCACAAACTCAACCCATCTCCATTTTTACTATTCATTTCGAGAGTCGTTAAATAGTATGCCATATGGAAGCCAATAAAACCTAAAGGTCTTGGGTATAACTCACAAAGAGTTTGACTATGCATATAATATGTCCAAATGTTCTTGGATAAGATGTATCTCAACTTTCTAGAAGTTAGTTACTTCCATTGGTTCATAAAGTTATAAAAATTTTCTAATTTCATCAAAATTTTGATTTATTTATAAAAAAATTTGTTTGTTTTGGTTATTTAGTTTTCAGTATAATTCATAATTTTTCATGCTTTAATTCGCTTGCTTTTAATTGGGGAGCTTGGCTAACATTGTTTTCAATGAACTAGGAGCTCATCCAATAACATATTGATTGATATCATTAGTGAATGAAATATTCTTACTTAATGTTTACAATTCATTGCTAGTTTTTGATACAAAAATATATTTCTATATTTTATTTCAGTTTTAAAATTTTATCAAGTAATTTTTTAAAATTTAAAACAGGTTATTATATTTGCTGAGCGTAAACAAGATGTGGATGCTATACATGAATATCTTCTTTTGAAAGGTGTTGAAGCAGTTAGTATTCATGGTGGAAAAGATCAAGATGAACGTGTATCAGCTGTTACAGAGTTTAGAGCTCATCATCGTGATGTCTTAGTTGCTACAGATGTGGCTAGTAAAGGTTTGGATTTTCCAGAAATTAATCACGTGGTCAACTATGATATGCCTGAAGATATTGAAAATTATGGTTAGTTTAATATTGATAATAATTCGATGAAATTACTTTCTAAGTAAAAGTTGAACTTAGTAGGTCATTGGGTAATACGCTGGGCATTTGAAGTGAAAGGTTACTGGATCCGAGTCTTGGAATAAATATCGACTCTAGGATGTGTTGATATCGAGCAAGACGATAAGTTAAAGGATTGTTTGTTGAGGGAAATTACAAAGCGTTTATATAATACATATGCATAGCCTTCGATCATACATTTGCATCTTGCGGTGTGCTCTGCAATCTAGTTAGTTCTAAACTGTCTTCTCGTGTGGTTATCAATTGTCCTGCTTATGCTGTGCTTTTGATGTACCGAAACTGTTTTTCGTCTTACGGCTGTGACAACTTCGGCTCCACGTTTCGGCTCATGCTATTCATAAGCAGTTTTGTCCACCACAATTGTAAGTACCTCTATCTGACGAGTTCCAACTATGACAGAAAACACATCCTGAATTCCTCTACTGATCAATGTCCTTCTTTACCTAAGATACTTATGACTCAATAGTAATATTGAGGCAATCTGCTCAGGCAACACATGTTCCAAAAGAGACTGATAAAAATTCAATCCCTAACATCAACAGCGGGAAGATTCAAAAGTTTATAAACAAAATAACTACCATAGATAAACTCTTTATATGAAGTTAACAGTAATTATTACTAACATGTTTATTCATAATTAAATACTTGGTTTTCCTTAGACAAAGTTATGCAGCATGCATAATGTAAATACAATTGGACACTGTCGTTGTTTATACTAGGAATTTATATTTTGTAAATACTAACAAGATACTCACTTGAGTGATTTATTTACAACATGTTTGTTACAATGCTTACTTTTTGAAGTGATGAAAATATTAGGGATATGAAGGAAATTCCTCATATGCACCAAGACACGCAATAAACCATTTATAATAATCATCTGCTTTCGCAGCATCATAAATCCATTATGTCAAGTAACTGATCACTCTTAATCTTCTTTCTATTCATTATTTCTTCCTTCCCTATTGAGTCTTTAACGTTAAAGTTGACATTGAATGCTGATAAGTCATGATGTTTTGATCATTGATAAATTTTTTGCTTCTGAAATATAGATGCGATATAGTGTGGTGAGTAGTGGTGGCTTAATGGCTAAAGCAATTGACATTCAGTTACTGGCTTTTCAGTTCAAACCCTTGTCAACCTACTTCTCTATTGTCGGCTTAGTAGTATTGCTTACTGTAAATAAAAGTAATTTGTCTAAAAGCCAAGTAGATGAAACTGGACTCGGAAACAGAGTTGGAATTTCTTATTAAAATCTAGATTTATGACTATCTAATCCTTCACATTTTATATGGCTCATTACTAATTAACAGTTGTTATGATGCCTATTAGGAGGATACCATAACTTGTTTTACAGCTAAGTAAATGATTTGTCTACTGGTATCTCAGTTTTTACTCCCTAGTCATCAATAATTCACTGAACAGATCAGTGGAAGTTACATGTTTCTTCGATATTTTTTTATTCATGATATATTTGCTCATGGTTATAAAAGCAGGTTGGTTAATGAAAATACGTATATCATGAAGTCTAATTTTCTTGGCAATTTCAAAAATTTATAATAATTGTACGTAGTACTAGAAACTAGTGTCAGTCTTAAAAGTATAATTAGTCGACTAATTTTTGTGTTGTTTTCTCTTGTTCATTTTAGTACATCGCATCGGTCGTACTGGTCGTGGTCATCAACGTGGGTTAGCCACAACATTTATCAACAAATCAGTGGATGAATCCACTTTATTAGATTTAAAGCATTTACTCATAGAGGCTAATCAACCTGTGCCAGAATTTCTTGTTGAATTGGCATCAGCTACTGAAGTTGAACTTGAAATGGGTGGTGAAGTTGGCTGTGCATATTGTGGTGGTTTAGGTCATCGTATAACACATTGTCCAAAATTAGAAGCAATGCAGAATAAAGCTGCTATTAATCTGGGTCGTAAAGATTTCTTGTCTTCTGCAGATTATTAACAAATTATCATTATTATCATTATCATCTGATAAGCTGAATACAGCCAAACATTTGATAGTTACTGTAAATAATTCATAAATTTAATTTGTAAATAAAATCTTCAATTGACGTTCATGCTTTTTCTTTTTCCTTGTCTTGGTTCAAAAGCTTAAATTTCAAGTTTGTTTTTCTTCAAAATCATGAAAGAAATTGTCTCAAGTTTAATATACTGTTATATTACTGCATATACTATATTTAATCATATCTAAATACTGTGATTCACGAATGAAAGTTCATTTTTGGTCTGTAAATTGTCAGAATAGTTTCTTTGTAAATATTTTCTCGGTTCACATTTAGTTGTACTGTATACACATGTTTTTTACTACTTAGAAACCAATAATTCTAAAATAAATCGAATGAACTTCGATCTGAGAAGATGGGATTTACTGATTTAGTCACCATACTTTACTGAATTCTTTACTTTCCCTTGGCAAGTAAGTTCTTCATTAATTTATTCGAAATGTATTACAGGTTAATATAATCTCTCAGATTAACTCCATCTATTCACTACACTTTCGATGCTAAATTCTTAGATATTGTGAAAATCGGTATTTGTAACAATTACATACTTCTAATTATCAAACTTTCCGTTATAAAGAAACCTGTAGATTTGTTTGCTACAAAAATAGGATCGTGTATAGTTCACAACTTTTGCTCAATTCTATCCTCCGTCCCATTAGTTTCAAAAGTTAAAAGAGTAAATATACTTTATTTCTCTGTTCATTTCAGCTAGTGTATAGAGTTCACTTTCACATATCTTCCTAATAATTTTCCGATATATGTGTGTGTGTTTCCCAATCACTGGATACACATATTTCTCCTCCAGAGAATAACTTATTAGTCATTCGTTTAGGTTGATGAGGTTGATTTTATATCTATAATAATTATTACTCGCAAATTCTTTCAGTCCTTGGTAATTTAGGAGTAATGATATTGATGTATTGTATATAATCCCCTGAATACAGTATCACTACTTATTCTGATCAAGAAACTTTTTCTTAAAAAGTAATAGTATAAATCGTTTGGACCTAAATTGGAAGTATTAATTAATATAATTCTTATATTGGAAATCAATAACTAAATAATTCAGTTGCTTGATGTTGTTTCCGTATAAATGTCTGGCCAAAGCTCATCAATTATAAATAAATAATAGTTTGTTTTATCCTCAGAAAATGCTTTTATACATTTGTTAGAGATGTAATCTGTATTAAAAACGGGATAGGACGTATTATTTCATTTATATCAATGTATTACTGAAAAGTTAGCCATGTATTATGTTATCATCTAATGAATTATAAATTCTGCATTGAGTCCCAGTTTCAATCCTGAAACTTAACTTTGAAACTGGATGAACTGTACAACTAAATAATTTGTGAAAATTTGATAAATTAGAAAACACATTGTTTTCCACACGTCGAGCAAGCTGATAACCAGAGGGAAATGGTAGGTTGCCTGAATCTTAATGTCCATTAGCTTTACTTGGATAATCGTAACTTGTGTAGCTAGTTAGAATTAATAATAAATGGTTACTGATGATACTAATAGGTCGAGATTAGTAAGTTTATTTTGAAAGGGGTGATGTGTACACTGAACAAGAACATTTCGTTTCTTTACAGTTTACAGAACTTTTTGGATGACTATATGTAAATAGTTCCGGTTTTCTGTTTGTTTATTTTTTAAAATTAAAGCCAATTCATAATGCAAAAATGTATTAATGTTACTACCATAATAATATAATAATAATAATAATAGTAATTACAATAACAATAGTTCATTAAAAATCCTTATTGCTCAGCTTTACTTTTAACAAAAATAGTACTGACAATAAGATTGTTTTGGGAGTAGCAGTTAAAATCAAGGTGGAATGAAGCATGGTTCACCAATATCATGTATATCTATCTACTTAAAAATAAAAATTGTGTACTGTTATGGAGAACTGTAAACAGAACCGAGTACCATAGTTTTCTCCCAGTGTATTATGCTTTATTTTGAACTCGTGTTAGATATCTTGTTATAGTGATCCTTTTTGAGAAATACACAGCCAAAATAAGTAGTATTAGCAGTAGTAGTAAGCAAATAACCAGAAGAATTATTGAAATCGGATGTACTGTATTGGAGGAAAAAGCATAGAGCAATTTGAAAGAAGATAACATAGGGTATTTTGTAATAATAATAATAATGATTGGTATCAAATGTGCTATATTTTAAATTTCATAAATGTATCAAGATTTATTTGATGATATTTTTGATACGCGTTTTTAATGCAATCGCCCAATGAAATAGAAAATGGAAGGAACTTGTGATTTCTTTGTTTAGTTTTACTCAACCACTTGGGTTCAATTCCCGTTAGTTCGATGAATGGGCACGATATGAATCATGACGAGATAAAACTCCAGTCTTATGCCTCCTGTTTTTTATTTGTTTTGATATATTTCGTGAAAGTAAGTTGTGATTGATTACTTAGCGAAGGTACATACCCACTCTGTACTTAGTAATATATTTATCTGTATTTTAACTTTGATCTCTATTCTGAGTTGCACTTAATGTTGGCTGCCTGCATTCAAGTTAATAAAACTTGGCCGGAATAGTGTATCATGTGGCATAACCTAGTGACGTAATAATATGGTGTTTGACTAAGTATCGTAATCTAGTTTGTCCAGTTTGTTATTCAGTGTCGTGTTACTGCATTATCACCAGCTAGTAAGTTTCATTTGTATGTTAACTGTTTAGTGGAGCTTAGTAATTAACACATTTCCGGTTTCAAAAGGTTTCATTTGGCCAATATTTAAAAACCATTAACTAGTGGGCATATAATTTAGTATATTCAAGGATTACACTTTTATATGATATTATAGCTGCACTTAGGGTTGAGCTCAGATATCCTTTCGTTTTTATAAAAAGCTCGTTAATAACTTACATGTACAATACTCTGAACGACTATATCCTCCTATTTTTTTCCATCCAAATCTGCATGCACAACTGATTCCATTCATCGTATTTACGCAATATGAATACGATGGGCAAATCGATTGACAATCCTCACATGTTCTTCTCACTGTATTAGCTGGAATGCGAATGGTAAAGAATTAGTCAGATGCATATGCATTGCTTAGGAATAACCAAAAAAGAAATACGCTATGTTTGATAGTGATTCCAAAGTTTAGTATAGTGACCTAAATCATATTATTCTTCAGAAAATATAAATTGAGTGAAATAATCATAATATTTTGTATTCCTATCAATTTCACTAACAACAGGCCTACTGTTACTGTATTCCACATAAGATCAAATTTGTAGAGGCTAATTTCCTCTATATCTGACTCCAATAAATTGTATCCCGTTAACTGAATATTTAATGCAGGCTATATCTCCTAGTAGAATTATGGATTTACTCGAGATTATTCAAACGCCCGAACATCACTTATAGAGATAGTTTATTATACACATAGTTCCCTCTATCATTTTGAAAAGAGAAAGAACAAACATTCTAGCAGAATAGCATGAATTCATTTTTATTTCGTTGGTTCTCGTCAGCTTCTTACAACCTGTGATATTTAAAATCAATTAATGGGTTTAAATTACTTACATGAAAGAGTTTGATTGGAAGTTATATTGAAGACATATTCGTATAGTATAGTATAGCAAGGGTGTAAATAAATTTAATATATTGAATATTGTAAATATATACCTTATGTGATGAAAGAACATTGTGACAACAGTTCAAACGGCTAGTTTATTATTAAAAATTGGTAAAATCTGTGAGCACACAGGGAAACCAAGAGTGTGTGTGCCTATATGGGTGTTAAAAATCCATATGTATTTATGAGCCATAATCAAGTGTGGATAAATTATTGGATGTCTATGTATTGCAACCGATGGGAGAATAGATTAAAGTTGATGTGCAGACATGTGCTCAATCAGACTCACACAGAAATTTACATAGTGGATTAAGTGTCTAAATTACAGTGAGCAGATAAATAGTACAGTAGTGGAATGGGTTTAATACAAAATAAATACATAAGTTTGCATGTTTCCAAAACAACCAATTAAAGCACTAGAAAGCCAAATACCATGGTTGAATGAACTATTTTGCTGATTTGAATATTTAAATGAAATACGAGAGCAGAGTGCATTAATGATTCAAACACATAATTCGGACGTTCTTGATATAAAGCTAAATAGCAGATTTCCGATTAATGGACCACGGTTTATGGAATTCAAATCATAAAGTTATTTCTAATTATTCTTACATAGCGTATTAACGCTACAGTAATAATGGTATGTTTATGTGGGTTCATATAGAGGCGGGTAACTCATCTATTGAAAGATTTTGTGAAAATATTTAAAATCAACTAACTTTATCTCTACAGAAGAAAAATGTTGTTACATTTATTTACATCAAAATGTTTCATTAAATGGCGAAGTTCTTTTCAGTTTCTCATTATTACACAATTAATTCTTATTAATAAGTTGTTTGAAGTACTATTCAACGATTAATGTGTTACATTTTGTTATGCTTTATTTGATTAGTTAGTTAGTATTGTGGTGAACGAGAACACAAGTGGGGACAATCGAATGTATTTGAATATAAAATTACAGAACATCTTAGTAAAATCTGAGAACCATACAGTATATAATTGATTTGCAAAATGTCAATCAGTCGTCTCAGACTTCATAATAATTTTTTATTTCCCAACTAATCATTCTCTGTTCTCGTTCTCTTTCCTTTAATCTTCTTGACCTTCTGCCACCAGACATTTCACTTTTGATTAATGATACATACTACTTATATCTGTCGACATCAGTAGCACAACAAAGTATGTTCCCTGATTTGCATCGATTCTTCAACTGATTACTATCAAAAGTAAGAATTATTTTCAAGCTGTACAAATCCCTACAAACTGTTAGTTTGTGTTAATTGACTGAAGAGAATGAGCAACAAAAAAAAACAATTGATTCCTTATAAAAACCTATAGCATTTATTTTTTCCACTAATATTTTGTATGTATGTTATTTTATTGAAAGAAAACTTGTTCCACTGGGGAACGATATTATTTTCTATTATCAGTTCATTCGAGGGCTTAAATTAATAATTCAGTCTTGTGAGCAGCAATTGTTCGGCCACAGTACATCTCATAGTATATCATCTATTGACCAGTATTGTTTTCTTTCATTTTAACAATCGGAAATTTGCTCAAAGAAATTCAACTCTATAAAATAAATCAATTAAAATAGATAAAATAAATTATATTTTGGTAAACTAATGAACATTCAGTTAAATAATAACTTACAAATGATTTTAATATGAACTTTACTGAAGTTTTTTCCATTAATATGAAATTTGTTGTTTTGTTTCAATGTTCCAAGTAAAGTTCCATCAGATAGTTGTGTTGCTTTAATTGAATCATAAACTATATCGGTCACAGCAAACATGGTTTCTTGATCTGATGGAATAAATTGAACAACACTACAATAAGGCCTTTCATAACTTGGCATTTCCGCGGTTGTTACTTGTTCCGTAATCTGATTTATTTAAAGCGAATAAACAAAGAAAATGTAATAATAATAATAGTAGTATATATATCTTCAGTTTTATTTAAGTATAATATAATAGTCAATTAGACTTGTAATCTAAAATAATTGAGAAATATCAAAAATATTTATTTAAAATTCTGTATTAAAAGTTATTAGAAAGTTCAAAGGATATAAGACTCAATTAATCGTTTCAAAGAAATCAAGCTAATATTACCCTTTTATCGTATGTTCTTATGTAGAAGTTTTTTTATTATCTACGGTCATAATTATGATTATATTTTAATAGTTACTACTGTAGAAATTACTTCTTAGTCATATTTTCGCTACCGATTGCTTATGTCTGTCATTTAATCAAGTTTTCTGGTTGCGGACTAAGGTCTATATAACTCATTGCTAACTTCTCTTACTGTGAAACAACTCAAGGATGTGTTTTTGAATTATACAGGAAAAAATAATTAATACTAAACCTAGGTTAATAGTGCTTCTTGTAAATTGTTTGCAGTCATCTGAAGTCAGACAATTCGATGTGATCTCTGGTCACTTAGAATATAAACCATGTTTCAACGTAACAATCAACAGAGTTCGAGGGTTAGGCAATACAATATTGATTGTTGTTCCGTAATCAATCAGTATGAAATTCTTTTCACTGTATATGTGGCAATGAAAGTAAAATTATAGTGTTTTGTTGTTCACTAATAAAAATAAATGTAATTGGTGTTAAATTATTTACTTGAAACTAATGACTTAAATGTGGAAGCGTTAATGCTTTATTGGTGAAAAATAAGGTTATACGATATCCGTACAGTTGTCGATTCGTTGAGACAGTATATGAAAGTAAATATATATAGAACTACCAAGGAAATACCATAACTTATCTATGTTAGAGAATTCCATGTTGACAACGATTAAAAATTGAAAAAGCCATAGAACTAATTTCATCCAAAATGTTTCCACATAGATGAACTGTATCTCAACTTTGAGAGTAGAGAGTTCTCAACAGTGATTTTTCTGGTTTAGAATTATCTTTGTATAAACTGTGTACGACTAGTCATTTAACTATGTTTTTGAATTTAATTTTTGTTTAGATAGGTTTAAGGTTATAAAATATTATCGTTATAAATTCGGTAGATATCTACGTTAATCATTGGAATAATTTCCCATTGAGCAATCAATAGTTATCTGTTGAGATAATATCCATTTGAAAGATTATATATTTAGTTGTAATTAATGGTTCGTTGATATTGGAAAATATTATATGTAAGTGATTATAATATCTAACATCAAAGTTAAGGTGTCCCGTAAAAAGTAGTGTCAAACTTTTCTTACAAATTGATAATAAGTATTGGCATAAATTTAGAATTTTTAAGATTATTAATTGATAAATTATATTAAAAATGAATCATAATTGTGTTTTTTTCAGTCTTGTAACTTACAAATTTACAACATCGCTTTGCAAAATATTCATATCTTTGATTTTCTGCAATTTCATTAAATTTCTTTACTGATAAAGGTTCCATTTGATCGTCTGACATTTCTGCTAGTATCCCGAAATGAGTGAATACTAGAAAATTTGAGAAAAATGGGATTCTTTATTAACCATAATACAGTTAATTTTTTCTCGAAACAACAAGCACATAATTCATTAAAAGGGTTAATATCTCTCATACTCTTGATCATTTAACGAGTGATTGACTACATAATATTTGTGTTATGTCCCGATAAGCATAATGAATGATAACTTTTGGGATCCATCTATAGACCGATACTATGTGTATATTTTTATCGTATAATTGTTAAATAACTAAACTATTCATATTCATGTCCCTATTATTAGAAGCTTTATTTTGACCTATGAATTATTATTATTATACGATTTACCATTTTGAATTATGCCCTGTCTATTAATTAATACCTCCCTCATTCTTAGTCACTCTTGGCCAAATCTTGTACAAATGTTGTTTTCTATTTTATGGTACGATGTGGTTTGTCTGGTTGGTATATAAACCCAGTATGCTTGAAATAAATGATTCATATTGCAGAGGCTGGGATTGGTGTTCTGAACTTAACTGGCTGGGGTAGGCGGAAAGCAGGATCAATCAGGACTCTAGACTGCTCGCACGTGTTTTATGCGTCATTGGACCGATTGATAATTCATTGCTCTCTAATTGGCGGTATCGTTACATTATACATTAACGTGGCACTCAGGCCACAAGTTATAACAATTTGTTTGTTACGTAAAACTATAGAAACTATTCCTTCTAAACTGAATGGTGTCAATAGATACCGAATTTTCTTAAAGTATTGTAATCAAGCAAAAAACAAGGAGATTTTGGTTAACACTGCTTTTTTATTTGATATCTAGTGATCTTATTTCAAATCGATTATTATTATTTATTTTCAATACTTTAACCTTTGGTTAGGTGATAGTACAGAGATTAGTCCGATTAAAAGATAGTTTTAAATTTGGATCTAATTCAGATTTAGGACATCAATCAAAACGAAAATGCAATCAACAACTTCAATTTAGTTTGTGACATACTATTGGTGCCTAATCATGGAGCTGGATCCAGAATCTTCAGGTCATGGAGTGAGCAGTTCACGTTTAAATGGTTGGTTCAAAAACTAGTTGCCTATATTTTCAGCTTCAACCATTAGTAACGTACTGAAATTATTTATTATTGTCAAGTAGATCCTCATACTGTGGTTCCTAACATAAGTCTACAGTTGTCGAACTGATACTGTTAAGGAAACAACACTTTGATGCAATGTTTGGCTCTTTTAGTCGTGAGGTTGTTTTTTTTTCAGTAAACTATCAATACTATTAAATATCGACCAGAACGATGCTGAAGAAATATTGACGTGAGAACTTTACAAAAGAGTTGTCATAGCTGTTTATTCATCCAAATAATTGTAGTTTAGATTTAAGGTTGAGCAAATAATACGTGATCATTTAGCAGTAAAAAGTATCATTTTGAATAGTTCTGATAAGTAGTAAGTCAGTCTACCCAAAACCGATAATAAATCACTTTCGTGATAATAGAACAGTGTACAAGAGGTCGTCTGCTGTTATCATTCAGTAGAGCTAAATCTTTCTTCTGTTAGTCACTACTGGAATCAGCTGCTTTGCAGCTTCATTGAAGTGTGTCAAACAAATGGATATAATATTACAAAATTAGCTTAGGAAATAAGACTATTCTAACATATATGAAAAGCATTTCGGAAATCGATGAAAGGAATTTGAAGGATTTCTGTATCAATTTATCTCATAATCCTACACAATTAATTTTATTTTATACAAAATAAAAATTAACTAAATGAGAGAACGAGTGGGGCATCATCTACATATTAAATCGCATAAGCTGAAAGCACTGTATTAAAATAATGAGACACCCTGTTTATCTATGAATGTATGAACATTAACCAGGAATGAAACCGCACTGGATGTTATATTGTATGGTGAAAGTTATGGACGTGAATTCGACCGAATGTCGATCATTAGCTCAATTTTCCACTTACTTACTTACTTAGGCCTGTTACTCCTCTTGGAGGGACATAGGCCGCTCACCAGCATTCGCCATCCAACACTGTCCTGGGCAATCCTTTCCAGCTCCTTCCAGTTGTTATTCATCCCTTCCATATCTGCTTTTATTTCCCGATGTAATGTGTTATTTGGCCTTCCTCTTTTCCGCCTTCCTTCAGGATTCCAAGTTAGGGCTTGTCTCGTGATACAGTTTGACGATTTGCGAAGTGTATGTTCTATCCATTTCCATCGTCTTTTCCTAATTTCCTCTTCAGCTGGAAGCTGGTTTGTTCTTTCCCAGAGAAGGCTGTTGCTGATGGTATCCGGCCAATGAATGTTGAATATCTTGTGTAGACAGCTATTTATAAATACTTGCACCTTCTTGATGATAGTTGTTGTAGTTCTCCAAGTTTCAGCTCCATACAGTAGAACTGCCTTGACATTCGTATTGAAGATTCTCACTTTGACATTGGTTGAAAGTTGTTTTGAGTTCCATATGTTCTTTAACTGAAGGAATGCGGCCCTTGCTTTTCGAATCCTCGCCTTTACGTTTGCATCTGAGCCTCCTTGTTCATCGATGATGCTTCCCAGGTATGTGAAGGATTCTTCATCTTCCAGAGTTTTGCCATCAAGAGTGATTGGATTGCTGTTCTCCGCTTTGAATTTGAGGACCTTGGTTTTCCGCTTGTGTATGCTGAGGCCTACTGATGCAGAGACTGCTTCTACACTGGCTGTCTTTATCTGCATTTGTTCGTGTGTATGCGATAGGAAGGCTAGGTCATCTGCGAAGTCCAAATCGTCTAATTGATTCTGAGCTGTACATTGTATTCCGTGTTTTCCTTCAGATGTCGAGGTCTTCATAATCCAGTCGACCACCAGGAGAAAGAGGAAGGGCGAGAGTAAACAGCCTTGTCTGACTCCAGTCCTTACTTGGAATGCATCTGTCAGCTGTCCTCCATGCACGACTTGGCATTGTAGTCCATCATATGAGTTCCGGATAATATTGACAATCTTCTCAGGAACTCCGTAGTGTCGAAGAAGTTTCCATAACGTCCTCCTATCTACACTGTCAAATGCTTTTTCATAATCAATGAAGTTGATGTATAATGATGAGTTCCACTCAACTGATTATTCGACGATGATCCGTAGTGTCGCAATTTGGTCTGTGCACGACCGATCCTTACGGAATCCAGCTTGTTGATCTCGAAGTTGAGCGTCTACTGCATCTTTCATCCGGTTCAGCAACACTCAGTTAAAAACTTTCCCTGGTATTGACAGTAGTGAAATGCCTCTGTAGTTTTAACATTTGCTCAGATTTCCTTTCTTTGGTATCTTGATGATGTGTCCTTCTTACCAGTCCATCGGCACT